TCTATTTATAATTTTACTATAAACTGAATTTATTTACTTTAAATTTGTAATATAGGAAATATTTGAAGAATCAGATATGTAAAAATATAAAATCTCAAGTATCAAGATATGAAAAAGTGCTTGAGGAAAAGTTGCCTGCTTTGAGAAGGCAGATTGCGTTACATTTATTTATAACTATACGTATAGCTGATTCTTTTTAAATGTTTTCTGTACTACGCAGCGCATAAAATTATAAATAGAATTCTATCTCGAAAGGCATTGATCTGTTAACTTCCGTTACAGAACAGTTAGAAATAAATACATCTTAATATGAACTTATTCGACAAGCTTGAACAATCAAACATTCTTGGCACCCATCAGGCACTTTTGCTGTGGTTTGCTTAATGACCGGCAAAGTAGTAACGTCGTACTCGAATCCAGGATACGCGACGTCTGCGAATATCACGGATGTTGTTTCGCAGAATCTTGAGAATGTCGCGTACACGTATACACCTATGCAGGTAGCAACGGCTGTGACATTAATGGTCGGAATATTTCAGGTAAATATCGTACATCGTTTTAAAATGCATTGCAATTGAACGATAGAAAATGAAGATTTTTCTTAACGTTATAGATAATAATGTATACGTTCCGATTAGGCATTGTGACCACATTGCTGAGCGAAAGTTTAGTGAATAGCTTCACGACAGCAGCTGCCGTTTACGTTTTAATATCTCAAATAAAGGATCTTCTTGGTCTTAAATTGCCAAAGCAAAAAGGATATTTTAAATTAATTTTTGTAAGTAAATGTATATTAAACTATCAACACATTGCCACCATAGAAAATAAAAGTAAATACTCAGTAAAAATCAAACTTAGAAGTCTTGAATGTGCAAGTGTTATTTTTATTAAATTATGAATGAAACATTTCAGCAAAGATCTTTTTTTTTAATTTCAGACTGTTATAGATGTATTTAAGGAAATAAAGAATACCAATATAGCTGCTGTAGTAATATCCACCGTATCAATTATCATTCTTGTTATTAATAATGAATTTTTGAAGGTAAATAATGTTAAAAGTTGATACTTTAAATGGAACAAAATATGGAACTGGAGAGAATTTTGACATATAATTTGTATTTTGTTAGCAAAGGGTCAGCAAAAAATGCAGTTTACCAATCCCTATTGAACTCATTGCAGTCGTTGGTGGGACATTAATCTCTCGATATTGCGATTTACCAAAGATTTATAATATCGAAACTGTTGGACACATTCCTATAGGGTACGTAAATAAAATTCTACTTCAATATTCTAAGTTTTAAAAATCACCTTAGAATTTAAAAGTTTTGATATATATTATTAATAGAACATTATTGTATTAATGTAAGTATGTTAAGACATGTAATAAAATTTATTTAATAGGCTTCCGAAGCCAGAAGTGCCGAGTTTTGAATTATTGCCGTTGGTAGCGGTCGACAGCATCGCGATAACAATGGTTTCGTATACCATCACTATATCAATGGCGTTGATATTCGCGCAGAAGCTTAGCTATGAAATTGATTCAAATCAGGAGCTCCTTGCAATGGTGAGATGTTGATATCTTAACGATTGCAATGTTTGTTCTATCAGTTATTAATAGCAAATTTTTTTTATTCCAGGGTTTTAGTAACGTAATGGGCTCTTTCTTCTCGTGCATGCCGATATCGGCCTCGCTGAGCAGATCTCTGATACAGCAAACTGTCGGCGGACGCACGCAGATAGCGAGCATCGTGTCCTGCTTAATGTTACTAATTATACTCCTCTGGATCGGGCCGTTTTTCGAACTTCTGCCGAGATGCGTGCTGGCCTCCATAATAGTTGTACGTATAGAATTATAAGAAAACGTACAGCCGTCGAGAAAACGTCAATCTACCGAAGCCCGTTCTCACAGGTAGCGTTGAAGGGAATGTTTCAACAAGCCAATCAGCTCGTTAAGTTCTGGAAACTGAGCAAGGCCGACACCGTAATTTGGATCGTGACGTTCTCCATTGTAACACTGATAAATATCGACATCGGATTGCTCGCGGGACTGCTCGTATCGCTGGCGATCCTTCTACTGCAAGCTATTCGGCCTTACACGTGTCTGCTGGGTCACATACCGAATACGGATTTGTACTTGGACTTGGACAGATACAAAGCGGTGAGTTTCCATCGCGTGGACAAATTAAAAAATACAAGCGGAGCTAAAATTAATCATCTCTTTCCGTCAAATTTCACTTTAGGCGGTGGAAATACACGGGGTGAAAATATTTCACTATTGCGGGACTTTAAATTTTGGCAATAGCTGCTACTTCAAGTCCATCGTGTACAGACTCGTCGGCGTGTGTCCGCAAGAAATTGTCAAGCGTAGAAAATTGAGGACCGAGGAAGGTCACTTTCTGGATGACAAAGATGCCGAAGATGAGCACGAATTGCGATGCGTCATTATGGACATGAGTGCGCTGAGTTACATCGATCCGAGCGGCGTGCACGCGCTGCACGCGATCTCGGAGGAATTCACGCGGGTGAATGTAGAATTTTACTTCGTCAATTGTTCCAGCCCCGTTTTCGAAATGATCAAGAAATGCGACTTGTACGTGCACGGCGCGATGTCGCTGAAAATCTTCGCGACTATACAAGACGCCGTTATTTACTTTCAAAACATGGTTGCCTCGAGATAGTGGAAAATAGTTTTCTGTTATGCGTGTGCTTCACACACAGCAATCGTTACAATATGCGTACCAAAGCGATGTAAATTGGATTAAGTTCGATGTGCACGACTCCGTGTACGGACTTTAATGTAAAGAGCCATATTTTTGATAACCATTTTAAGCCTCCGGTACTCTCACTGCGATCATATCAAATTACATGCGACTTTTCATTATAAATATGTGTCGAAATAAGATGGCATTTTACATGCATAATTAATGATATAGATTTGCACTTCTAGATTTTTAATAACTAATGAAAATTTCCAATCTCTTATTGATCTGCAAGTTGAAAACATCTTCGTCAAGTAACACAAGAAAAAATAATTATTTTATTTCTATTTTTATTCAGAATAATTAACTGCAGCGAGAGACCGAGGGTCTTAATGCGCAATGGAAGAACACGCAATTGCATTTTTCGCCATTGTAACTATCCATTGCATCTTTACGAGATACTTATATTTTTCGAAGTGATAAGAGGATAGAAAATATGATATTTTTTTACTCCTGCCAATTTCTTACAATGCCAAACATAAGCAGTGAGTCATGCACACTGATCGGTTGCATTGGAAACCAAGTGATATAAATGTACTTCACAATCAACACTGTATCCAATGTTGTACTTATAGCAAACACTTACCTTATAACATCTCTATAGATATTTAACCGTTGATATATTTTTTGAGCTATCACCTTTTACGTCATGGCAGATTCAATTGTTATAATTCTCACGAATTGTGATTACTGTTGTAGCAGAGAAATATTGAGCAATGCAGCGTGTAAGCGAGCAATCGGCCTGTTTATTTACAGTGATCACCCTATGTACAATGTGACAGCTTATGATTACCGAAGCCAGGGTAATCCGCTGTTACAAGTTAGATTAGATTTACTGTGCCTCTGATAGTTACGGAATCGGCAAATTAACATGCTATGTCTCCTATTCGTAAGATTTTTTTTTTTTCTCTCTAATTCTGCGGCAGTGTCGCCCGTTGATTTACCGATGTACAAGGTTGCAGAATAAATACTCAAAAATAAGTGGCGGTACACCATTGTTCAATAATGTACGGCACGAAGATCAAATTGTTTTATACGTTTCATTCTCTAACCGAGCGGGTCGAGCGACGATCCGATCGGTAACATAAACGTCTTGCCGTCGTGACGCTTTACGCCAGACCGTACTTCTTCTTGAGCGATTCCGGCATCTCGGGTGGTGGCGGACGGGGCATGCGCAACGAGACCTTCACGGCGTCGTAGATGAACCATTGCGCCGCGGTCAGAGTACCGATCATCACGATCCTCGGTCCCAGACCCTTCCACACGCCGGCGAAGCCGAGTTTTCTCAAGACGTCACCCGCGGATGCTCCTTTCTCTTGATTTAACTTCGACACCACCTGGCACACATTTAATTATGTTAATGCGGTGGAGAAAATTTTAACTCTTTCATAAATGAGGAATGAAAATTCGTGTCTGTTACTTTGAATTTTGAATGAATATTTTACTTCATATTCAGAAGCCTCAACAGTTTCTATATATATATATTTACTTATCAAAATGTTAAAATATTTGAATTTTTCATTCCGCTACATTGGAAAAAAATTGGTCTGTGAAAAAACTTGAGTGCATGCAAAAGAACATGAAACTCACCGAGTCAGCAGGATGAGATACGACGGCGCAGAATACACCGGCAATGTATCCAGCAGCGAAAGTGACTATCAATTGTTCGCCTTTGGTACAATCTGCTCTGGGCTTAGGTACTACGTATTTATACAGAAGCTCGACGGTACGCTCGAAGCAGGCGAATTTCATCATCGTGTACGGGATTTGACGCAGCCACAACGGCACCAGGCCTTTGTAGAAGCCGGAAACACCCTCCTCTGCGGATATCTTCGGCATTGCCTGCCGCAAAGTGTTGGCAAATCCTGGTGTGGTTTGTATCTTGACCTATAATTAAAAAATAAAATTACACACAGGATCGAAATGATGAGACAAAGAAATTAATTGTGAGAGTAGAAAAATGTCGATACGACGAACGATTCGTTACCTTAGCAGCTTCGAATGGCGCTAAGCCAATATCCGCGAAGAATTCCGCAGAGGCCGACGATATCAAGTACAGAGTAGTTCTGTATTCGTAAGCAAGTTCCTCACCAGCTATCGCCGAATATTGAACCTTAAAGACTTCGTAAAGTCCGAATTTGAACATTCCTTGAATGGAATAGCCGAAGAAGGTAGGCGCCCAGCCTCTAACCAATCCCCGGGTGCCGTCTTCGGCTAAAGTTACCTATAAAGTTAACGACAATTATCACAATATACAATTGATAACAAACAAGAACAATCAGCATGCATGTTGTGTCTTATTATTTGTCATTAATATTTTTCTTTTAAATTTGAAAAAAAAAAAAATTGAAGTTTATGACGACTAATCTAATAAGACAGATGATAAAATTTATAATTTTCCTATATATATATATATTTAAATAATAAATTCAAACTAAAGAATGTAAAGCAAAATTTTCTTCAATTCTTATTTTGATAAATATATCTATAAATGTCTCTGAACATCAATGTGTGGGATTTAAGGAGACAATTACCCGGAATCCATTGAACACTGATTTGTATTTCTGTGGGTCCACTTGAATCCGGCATTTGACTAAATCTAAGGGGGTGACCATGGTATGAGTGATACCACAGGACAAATACCTCCGAGACCACATAGCAAGAAATAGTGATTTGACCCGAATTCACAGCTATCTGTAAATACATAAAGCAACGAGTTATATATATGAAAAATAATATCAATATATAAGATCTATCCAAAGTTATAAAATCTAGTTACAAATATATTATAAAGTTTCAAATATGAGAATAAGTGAAAAAGTACAAGACACTTAAGGACTCGAGCCTCTTCAAGCTTTTGTGTCTTATTTTTCTTTAATTATTATCGATTTTATATTTCATATTTTATTAGAAAGATGCCGCCTACAATGAACCGTTGTGAATTGACACTTAATGATCCGAAACTTTTATTTTAACGTAAAGACAATTCTAAGGGACGTAAATCTTGAAGCACGTGAATCTTTTGAAGGCATTGTTTGATCAGCTGATCGATCCTCGCTCTCCAAGCATTTCTTTTCTGGCGTGAATTCAAAATCTAAGCGGACTCGCCCGTACCTTGCCCCACTTGATCTATAAAAAAAGCGTCTGCACGCTCGAATACGCCCTCGGTCGCGTTTCTCGGTCACGGCCAATGTATAAAGAGCGATTTGAGGGAAGTATTTTCGCTTAGTCGTCATCCAAGGCTAGGAGAGCACGTTTTATAATGCGCCGATATATGACAAAATGGCCGCGCCTTATGCAACTCGCCGCGTGCGTTATGTTAAAATCCGCGGATCAAGTCCACGCCTTACCACGTGCCACGAAACGTCAGGAATTTGTCACTGAAGAATGATGTAATTCGTAATTGTCTCTCTGTAGGGATGCGAACCGAAAAAAAATGTGAACTACATACGCAAATACTCGCGCAATCAATGTTCGTTCAAATCTTGCATTTAGAATTCTATTGTTACTCCACTATACGACAGACACAATCTGCAGTTATATAATTAATGCGTTATAATTTAGCAGAGAGATCCTGCAAAATAAGGAATTGTATGCCATTATCCTGAAATTGCATTGCTATAATTAAATTCGCGATTTCTGAGAATCGTAATTGTCGCGAGTTGCAGCAAGCGATCGAGCGGCTTTTAAACTTGCGCTCTGACAAAAGAATCAAGGGACGTTCAATGACGTTCAATCACATTTCGGGTTATGTAACTCGTGCGAATGTCATATGAGAAATGGCGGGTGATCTTATTGCATAAAATATCGTATTTTGCATGAATATCGACGGCGGAAATTTCACCAGAGAGTGAAAG